CTACCCCCCCCCCCCCCTCATATGTACTACCCCGCAAGGTTCTCCCATACCGGGCATACTTCAAGTCAATTTAGGCTAATGAACCCTCTAGGGTTCAGGGCAGGTGCGACTAGGTCTTTGTCGTTGGGTGGTGATACTTTGGCCGCCCGTTTGCGCTGAAAACATGTGTCCTTATGGTGAAGGGTGCCAACCGCGCATGTTGACAACCACGCATGTGTCTTGCGGGCCTGTACACAGTGAAGCAATCCAACCAGCTGCAGCCATCGTACACCAAATACTCCAGCTTCGCTGACCAGGGACCTGGGAAGCCAGGGTAGCAATAAGGTCACAAGGACCCGGGTCTACCTGGGCATCCCGAATCGAAATGATAACAGCCTTAAACTTGAAAATGCTACGTATACTAGAAACTTATTAATTTCGGACGAGATCCTGATATTTGAAATACCGCTTCAAAATGCTCCGGAACTAAGTGAGGGCAGAACTTACAACTTCAGGTTTCCTAGCAGCAAGTCACCCTTCAGGACCAAACTTTTAAAGCGCTCCCCAAAATAATCTAGTTGTGGACAAACCTTCATAATAGCAATTTGGGGGATTCAACAACTTCCCGTCTCACTTTTTGCCACGTTCTTCTTGCCATTGAAATCGTGAACGCCCGAAAGCTTTTTGGAGGACATCAGTAGAGACGCGAGATTCTGGGGTTTCTCAAGTAAAGATGCGAATGGGCTCCATTCTAGAACCTCTAGGATGCATAGTACGGTTTCGGATTTAGGGTTTAGNNGGATCTAGGGCTTAAGGTTTAAGATACCAGTTTTATAGGGGCCTGAATAGATCGCAGACTTAAGGCGTTTCTTTGAGAAACTCCAATGTCGTAGCACACGACAGCATCGCCGCTGATCGAATGTGCCGCTTGGCATGAAACATTACCACACACAATGAAGTGTGCCGAATTGGGGACTGGAGCCCCCGGGTGCTGATGAATGGTGACTTGTGCCAAGGTCCTACAAAAGTCTACTCTTTTTTTGCCTTCCCTGCATCTGTGGACCAACGAACAGCTGGCAGAGTAGTCACCTGTGAGAATGCATCAGCATGTGAGACTTCGCTAAGAGCGCATGTCGGACAGGGGGTTGCCAAAATCCGGAACCCCCCTTATGATAATATCCTGGCTACAACAGCCTGCATTTAACAGCTTGGGATCCCAAAACAGGACGCAGCAGATGCCCATTTTGGCAACCCACCCGATGACTTCTCCTTACCTCCTCGGGAGGGCACGTGCGGAAATCAGTTATATACTAAACAAAGCGCCTCAGCGGAATCCCGAAGCAAGCCAGGTGTAGAGACTTTCTACTATACGACTAAGGCTATCTGGGGATAAGGACTCCAAATATGAGGAAATGTGTTTCAACTCTAGTCCAGCTATATATCTTAAGGCCAATTACTCCTAGCCGAAAAATTTCAACCCCAAACCCCCTAAGCCCTAAA